AACAGAAAGTTCTTCTATAAGAAAACAAAATTTGGAAAACTTTCATTTCATTACAGTAACACGTACTATTTCATGACAAACTAACATTGCTACTAAAATAATTGAATTTTGTACTTAACAAAGTAACAAAGTGTAACAAAGATTTATCATATAAGTGATAAATTAATGTATATACTTACGAAATGCATAACTGCTTCATCAGTGTCACGTAAGAAGGAATCAAAATTTTGTATGCTCTCAACCGTACATAAAGGTAACATTTCTGCGATAAGACTATCGCTGTTATTTGTCGAAACAGAACCACGGCTTCTCAAAGCATCCTCCATTCTGCTCATCCGTTGTTTAATATCCTCTAGTGTTAAATTGCACGTTGCTTGCATTCGTGTTATTTGTTTCAGGTACTCTGCAATAATTAGCAAAAGTATTACATATATTGTAAATGTAATAGTGCATCTTCTAGATGCATATACATATACACACACACACTTACAAATACATATTATTACACACACACACACACACATGTTGCACAATTACGTCTAAATGTGTATGTCTTATGTGCAAATTAATGAGGCACATGGGCATCCCAGTGAGAAATGATTCGTCGATCGACGTCGAAACGATGTCGAATCGACATCGACACCGTCGAATTGACGTCGATTACATTGTGACGATATCATTCTTTGAACACATTCTTATGACAATTATTTATAGAATAATAAGGATTACCTTTGATATAAATAGCACGTCGTTCTCTCCCTTTCTCTTTTTATTGCGCCACATCGGAAAAGATTGGCTATCTCCGACCTAACCTAAATTGTTCAGTATCAACACGAACAGTATTCGTGTTCGCGCTGTCTTTTCGCGTAATAAACAGGTTGTGTTGTTCGTGAATAGATTTATTTATTGTTCAATCTCGAAATACGCCACAAAATCATAAAGTCTCGCACTCGCGATAGAGATGCCCGCGACGACGCCTTGGGGCTGTTGCCCTGAGTCGCGGACGATTCGTATGTAACGCACTTATTGTCTTTTATCGTTTGTTGTAACGATAAATTATTGGGTCCGGCGACGATGTCTCGGGGCTGCTGCCCTGGGTCGCGGACGATTCGCATGTAACGCACTTATTGTCTTTTATCGTTTGTTGTAACGATAAATTATTGGGTCCGGCGACGATGTCTCGGGGCTGCTGCCCT